AACGGAAAACAGACTTTGTTTACATAACGAACACACAAGGAATAACTTATGACTGATGAGAATTGAAATATAGTAAAAACAGTAAAACAGTAGAGAAAGAGATTATTTAAGCAAATTATAAATATTATTGTTGAGTTTATGACGTTAGAGCCAAGATACCACTTTATTTATTCACAAAAAATCTGGAAAGGGTTGTTTCTCGAAGATTGAAAATTGTCAATTATGATTGTCCTTTTTACAAGTATATGTACACATGTGATCTAGGAAGTAGCTGGAGGCTTTGTTTCCTCTGTTCCTTCCTCAACCTGGTTTGTGAGAAGGAAGAACTTCAGGATAGGGTCAATATACTCCATGATGGTGTCTTTAACGCCTTTCTCAAGCAGGTAACCTTCTGTCTCGATTTCTATATTTTCGTTCCCAATAACTGCCTCCATTGCTGTCTGCAGGAACCTCAAACTCACCAGCACAGAAGTCTGGGGGGGAAAAGAGAACGTTAGCATCTTGAAAAAAAAAAATTTCTGATCAGGGATTCATTTAATTCTACAGTTAACACTCAATTACCACATTACTGAGTAACAGGTTTTGTTTTGGTTGGAAAACAAGTAGGGGGGGGGTCATGGCTCAACAATTTATTTTACTTTGTGAGAAAAATGATGTTTAATCATTGATGGAAGATGTGAGAAATATTAAAATTTTGTTGTTAGCTGAGTTGTTAGTGCAGTTACTCAATAGCAGTACTTCTCAAATAGTGTCGCAGGCCCCACTGAGGTGCCGGGGGTTGAGGAGGTTGTGAGGGGCTTCCAATGGAATATGGCACGCTGGAAATAAGTGTACCACTGCTGTAATGCTTGAATGATAACAAGCCTCCAGTCACTAGGTGGCAGCAACTCATACAGTGGTTTGTACAGATAAAAATATACGTTGTCAGGTTCTCAATAGTGTTTCAATTCTGCAAATTGAATTTCTCTGTTAAAATCCATCCATCCATCCATTCTCATCCGCTTATCGGTTTCTGGGTCGCGTAGTCTCCATGACCACCACCCAAATCACACTGCACCGTAGCAACCCCCCTGAACCTTCCTGCAGGTGCTGAGTCCACTGAAAGGTACCAACCGCCTTAACCGGAATTCAATATTGTCCAGCAGGTGAACCCTGGGGTTCAATGACAGAGACATTGCCTCTGGGCCAAAGCGCCACGTCCGTTAAAATACGTACTGTGATTACATTTTTAACGTTAATATACCATATTTTCTGGACTATAAGTCGCATCGCTTTTCATCCTTTGGCTGGGATTGCGACTTATTTCACATGTTGTTATTTTCACAATGACAGCCGCTAGAGGGCACTCTAGGCTTGTGTACCAGTATCTGCTACTCCTGTACCGCTGAAAATGTACATGTTCCTTATTTCCACACTGACAGCCGCTAGAGGGCACTCTAGGCTTCTGTACCGGTATCTGCTACTCTATGTGAGTCGCACATGTCAGCCTTTTTTTTTTTTCAGCATTTTTTGGCTGGTGCGACTTATATTTCAGAGCGATTGTAACACCCAGGAATGTAATCAGTCAAAAAAGGTTCATTTTTTGTGGCACAAGTTTTAAACCCCTTCTGCACCATTTAACTTTCCAGTATGAGAAGAGTATACAGTACCTGGATGGCAAAGACAGACAGCACTCCAGTTCCGATGGTGTTCATCAGACCCATGTAATAGTTGACCAGGGCCTCTCTGCAGCCTCGGACATAGATGTTGAGCTCCTCTGTCTGGTAGTCATAGTTATAATGAGCGGAATTGTTGGTGATCTGATGCTGAATGCATGGTCGTGGAGAGCTGGGGTTACAGCAACTAAATGGGACACCGTGGACCAAGTAACGGCCATCCACATTGCTCTTTATGTAGCTGCGGAAATAAAGGACACAACAGGTTACAGGTATAAAGTGCATGCTTTAATGAGGAAGTAGAGTCCTCCAACTTACTCTTTCACTTCCTTAGAGCTGAAATCAAGGTAACGGTTGCTGATCCACTGCACGTCGAACCAGTCCCTTAAGTCATTGTTTCCACAACACTGAAACTCCATCTGCAACCGATCGATGTTCTGTTTCTGGAAGCAGCGTCCTGGTGTGTCTGTGTCCTTGTAGAACCGGATGCCATTTTTTAAGCCAATCTTCAGGGACGACTCCAGGCTGCCCTTCATTACGTAGCTCATGATAACAGCAAGCAGCATGAGGGTGGTGAAAAAACAAGACACGGCATAGTAGGGTTTCAAAAAGTTCTTCCAGCGAGGAAACCGCGCAGCGTCGAGAGCATCCTGAGAGATCTTCGAAGCAAAGAAGTTGGTTCCCATAGAGACCAGACCAACAATCATGAAGGTGTTGGGAACAATGTGTATGTTTGAGTTGTCCATTAGCTGGAAAGAAGTCACATTAAATCAGTACAGCGCCCATAGCTTGTAAGCATTTAGTTTGTAATTCCTGTGTAAAGTATTACTGTAATTCGTCCCTGTCTTTATTGCTTTGCAGGAGCTTAAAGAAAAACACCATCGGTTGTTTTCTTAGTTGATAGATGAGTTCAAGTTGTACTTCTTTGTATCAGTTCTCATTGGTTTCCTTTTAATGTTGGCTGATTTGCAGTTTGTCTTTTATGCACTGGGTTATATTGAACTGTTGGTAGCGGGATCTTTCAAGGTGACTTTTACTTTTTGTATTGTAACTCTGATAACGCAATGTACAGAGGGTATGCAGTACAAACTGTTTTGAAAGAACCTAGTCATTTTACTCATATTAATCTATGGACTACTTTCAAGCACCAATGGGCTTATGACTTTTGTTTTTATGATTATTTATTTGTTATATATTCCTAAACCCTCCCCATATGAGTATGAGGAAAAGTTGGCACAAGCCATGCAGTACAGGAGCACTCAAACGCACACACACACAAAGGCATATTATCATTATATATATGAGTTGTAATTTCCCAAAGGAAACTATCTATATATCTATTTTTATTTTATAATTTAATTTATTTTAGGGTGTTTATTGTCATTGTAACACGGGGATACAACGAAACTGAGCCTCATGTTGCATGTCCCAAAATGACCATGTCAGTAGTTTAATACTACAACGCCAACATCAATATTTTTTATATATATACAATATATATAAAATATATACTGTATATATATTTATATTTTAATATATATTAAAATATATATTTTAATAAATATTAATATATATTTTTTTAATATATATTATTTTAATATATATTAAATATATTAAAATGTACTATTATGATGTGGGATATTAAACGTGCAACATTTTTGCATGCCATTAAAATGCTAATCTGACACGTGTTAACTTGTATGCAGATGATGCTCTCATATACACATCCAACAGGACACTAGCGTCGGCTATTGCCCTTTTGGTCTACATACGTGGCTGATGTCCTGCCATAAGTGACTTACTTAAACTCATCTAATGCTCAACCTCATGTCACCATGTGTTTTTCTCAACTCAGGCATAACTGTATTTAAACCGTTAAATACAGTTCAGAAAATCATCTTGATGACAGAATTTAAATACCTGCACATTTGACCAGATACACAACTCAAATTAAATAACTAGATTAAGTTATTATATAGTTTCATATTATTAACCATATTACATTAACTGTCTGACACTTTGGGCACAAGAGGCCTCCCCTACAATAAAACACAAATCTGGAACTATGTGTCTGAAAACCTTTAGTTAATAATAATAATAATAATAATAATATAATACTACTACTACTACTACTACTACTAATAATAATAATAATAATAATAATAATAATAATAATAATAATAATAATAATAATAATAATAATAATAATAATAATAATAATAATAATAATAATAATAATAATAATAATAATAATAATAATATAGTTTGGCTGTGCTATGCTGTACTTGTTTATACTGTAAAAGCCCAGTAAAACTGCAGTTGGGAATTAGCACTTTGCTACAATCTCTGTTTGCAGAGAGATGTCATTAATGTACACTATGTTTGACATCATAATTCCTGATTTAAATAAAAAAAAAAACCAATAACCATTTATTTATTTATTGTTAAATTTCCAATACAGGTGGAATTTAAGAAGTACCTCTGCTCTCCTGTGGAGTTCCGTTTTAAGGAAGCATCCTAGGCTGAAGGTCATAGCCCCAGCCATTGTGGCACACCAGGACAGTAGCCACAGTCCCTGGGCTAGTTTCACCCTTTTCTCAAAGGGAAACTTCATCTTCATCACCACCATGTTTGCAAGCACAGCCTTACTGAGGAAAACAACGAGAAGGAAAGTTATGAGCGAAAAAGAAAAAAAAAAAAACAGACGAAGCTGTGTCTAATAGACAATTGAGTTTTAAATGAGACGAAATAGGACAAAAGGCTTCAACGTGAATATGGAAAAAAAAAGTCAGAATAGGATCATTTAAAACACACTGATACGCTGAGAATGTCAGTATCCTTTAACATAAATCTTACTACTGCTTAATATTTAAAATACATACCGTGGGTATTTTGAAAAAAAGAAAAAAAACAAACAAATGTAAATTCACCTTTTTTTCTCCCCAGATATTGCTGGAAAACAGCTGTTCTATCCACGGACGACTCTCTCCCCCCAGTGTGCCACACAGTGGATTTGGCACACTGTAAACTTAAAACTGGAATATCGGGAGTGTCTTACCACTAATGCCTACCTATCCTATTAAACTGGTCTGTGAATCCAGGGCATTGTCAGCTCAACGGCCATCGCCGATACGGAGGGACACAGGTGACAAGCCAAATTGAATCTGACAGGGAGATATCATTGTCCTGTATTAATATTATAGGCTGCCCAGAGGAACACACACACAAAGCCACCACACAACATTAAAGGCAAACATGGAGTCATGTCTTCGTCCTATTTATTGGAGGATTTAAAATACAAAAACCAAGACACACATTTTACTAATTGGGAGGAGCTAACAGAGATCAAGAATGCTCTTCAGTTTGTATGACCAGGAACATACTAGACAGTAGGTCAATCAAAAAGACAACAACACTGCACCAATGTATGCGCAAAGGTAACTTCTGATACAGCAAAAGTCAAATAGAGATAGAATAAAGAGTCAAATAATTTTCAATTTTCACTTTTCGCTTCCACCAGTAGTTATTTGCAAATCGCTGAAATTAACTTAAAACTTATGAAATAGGGGTCCGGGGGTGGGAGGTTCGGGAGGTTTTATGGGGGGGCGTGAGAGGGGACTTTCAGTATAGTGTATTTATTCATGATTTATTCATGCTAGTACCAAAAATTCAAGCAACTCATACAGTAGTTTGTACAGATTAATAAATAAATCTTACCAGGTGCTCAACAGTATTTCAATTCCGAGGGAGTGTGTGAAAAAAAGGTCTCTTTGTATATACATGTACACAGTCATTGAAGCTGTGACATATTGTGGTTACATTCAGAGGGACATCTTAAATTCTTCCTGGATACCTTTAACGTGCAGACAGTGCCGTCACATGGCAACTGTTACTGTCTCTAAAAATGTTTAATAGGTTCATCATGGATTAAATATAGAAGACAGAGATTTAAACAGAAAATAAACGTCTATATGGATATATGGCTACACATTATATTGCCATTCAAACTAATATACCATATTATATATATATATATACAGTATATATATATGTATATTTATATATATAAAGTAAATATACCATAAATATACCGTAAATATATGTAAATATATGTAAATATACCATATACATACAGCATCTGCTACTATTGTATCACTGAAAATCTGTTTGTTATTTTCACACTGATAGCCTCTAGAGGGCACTCTAGGCTTGTGTACCAGAATCTGCTAATTCTGTACAACTGAAAATGTACATATTCGTTATTTTCACACTGACAGCCGCTAGAGGGCACTCTATCTGGCCTGTTCGACTTAAATATACTCCTATATTTCGACTTATAGCCTATATGTTTTTTTTACTTCTTCATTATGCATTTTTTTTGGCTACAGTGACTTATACTTCAGAGTCTCATAGACTCATAGCCCGGAAAATACAGTAAGCGAAATAACATGTGTTGTCTCCAGATATTATAGGTAAATACACATATATTTTTTTTCTACCACAATGCAGGGATTCTCTGTTGTGCGTCTACAGCTTTGTCCACTCCAATTTCAAAACCTCATCTGGAATCCCTCCAGTCCAACCAAGCGCCTCAGCCCTGTCCTCACGTTTCCCCTCACTTGGCTGTGTTTCAGCGATTAAACTGTTCAGCATCTGCTCGGCTGACTGCAGGCCGACCAGGCTGCCCTTTGCCTCCATTGAACTCGCAGTAGCTGCTTGTACGCAACTGCTTGTTTTCCAATTATGAATGATGTGACCATCTAAATCCTCCATCACCTCAGAGCCCGGCTGGTAAAGGTCCATCATGGCCTCCGTGCTTTTTAGTTCCTGTTGCAGTCGCTGGTTTACCACTGGCATTTCCCCCAAACTGGCCGATCGAATCAAGATCGAAGAACCAAGGTTTGGACTTGATGTGATTCTGTAATTGCTCTCACAGGTCAAACCCTCAGATGGGCTTTTTAGGTCAGATTGGCGAGTACTGGTTGGCAGTGAGGGTAGAACTTCACCATGGAATGTAAAGTGAAGGTGAGGTTTTTGGGCAGCGTGTCCTCCAACCAGTTCCTCACTCGCTGAACCACTGACATTACCCAAATCTACTTCCTGGTTTCTCCATGCTGCATTTCTATTGGATGTCCTGCTCAGCATCAGTCGTGGTGTCTCTTCTCCCATCTCTGACCAGTCAGATTCCTCCTCCTCCGGAACTGACCGCAGAGACTGCTCCTGCCCCACAACCTTAGGCTTATCATAGTCATGGTCGTCGGTGAACTGAGCTGGAGGGTGCGTGACGGGATGGACCATCTGATTGGTTAGTTCATCTGACTCGAAATGGATGCTGGTGTTGAGGTGTGAGGACAATGTTTTCTGTTCCAGGATGCGATAGGGAACACAAAAGGTGAAATAAGGAAATGTATTTTCGATTTATATTATATATATTTGACATTAAAGAGCAGTTGTGTGTGTGTGTGTGTGTGAAACATTGCAATTCCTTAGGCTTAGTAGTGTCTCAATCACTGGGAATCAATTTGGTACAACCTGATATTTTAACAAAGAAAAAAAAAAGCTCACTATAAAACATTTATCTTTTGTATTGTGTTCCCTTATTTCCTATATATTAAAATATTTTATAGTGTACTCTTAAAAACAAAATATATATGTGTATATATATGTATACGTATATACATATATATACATATATATGTATATATATGCATATATATGTATATATATGTATATACATAGTATATACATATATATACATATATGTCCCATATATATACATATGTATATACTATGTATATACTATGTATATACATATATATATACATATATATGCCACCCAGACTCTTAAAGAGAATAAAAACTTACACTGATGATTTCTGTGTCACTGTTTAGGAGTTTGACATCAGCGAGCTTCTCGGTAAGTACTGAAATACGTATGTTCAACCTCTCCCGTTCATCTTCCATACTTTGAGTCTGTATCCAAAAGAAGAAACAACAACAAAAAAAGTTTAGTTTCTCGGATAGCTAGCCGTGATGCGGCTAATTTATGGATGGGGTAACAAAGTTCATACCGCTAGCAACCCACAACTTTTCTGATAGGCTACCGTGTGTTATACTAGTAGCGTATGTCTGTCTGTGAATATATTCCAACTACAGTTGGGGGCCCTGAAGCAGGAAAGAGCTAACGTACAATTTTTTTTTCTTTTAAAACATAGTGGGTGCGACTTATATTCAGGTGCGCTCAATAGTCCGGAAATGACGGTATCTATTTCAGTCCAAGCTGAAATATCAAGCAATTAAAGGTGGACAATTAAAGGTGGACAGGTCCAATGTCTAAAACCAGCCGCAGATATAATTCAAGTTTCTTATACTGACACGATTCAGGTTACATTTTTACTTGGATATGTTTTCAACTCTGAGTTCCTATCTTCCTCAGATGTGTCACTTGATGTCACAGTGACGTGTCCATGACAGCTGTTTTTACGGCGTGGTCCCCGTGTCAATTTTGACAGGGAAACCGTGTCTTCCACTGCCTGGCTGCTCTTTCCTGCTCTTTTTTTTTAATTTTTGAAACAATGAGGGAAACAGTTGTTTGTGTTTGGTCGCTATGTCTGTGAATATATTCCAACTACAGTTAGGGCCCTGAAGCTATATCAACACAACATCAGATCGGTCTTGTCAAAAATCTCTGTGTGTTTGGAATGAAATCTAGCATAAATAATCAACAATCACAGCTAACTGTGTTATTTGCAGCAACCGAGTTCAACTTTACACATTTTAAAGAACTAAACTTCAGGAACGTTAAAAGGATTTTAGCAGACTTACCACTAAGGACAGCTTTTTCTGAAGGAGATCATTTGAGTGCTGCGTAGAGGAACAGCTAGCTTGAAGGCTATTGTAAAAGAAAAAGAAAGAAGGATAACCAGAGAGGAAGTGAAACATGTTCTTCTTCATGTTCTACAACTGTACTGTATAGTTTGTATTCTTTACCCCATGAACCTCATTGTGAGGTTGCTCAGCTCAGTCTTTGTCTTCTGCAGCTCTGTCTCCAAAAGTTTTTGGCTGTTAATGAAGTCTTCTCCTAAAGATCCCGTCCTCACTGCGGTCTTCTGCAGACTTTGGTAGACATGTTCATTCTTCTCCTGCAAAACCCTGTCGGGATGGATAAAGGAAAGGTAACAGAATGTGCACAAGATTCAGCACACTTGGATGAGAGACGCTGTAACGTCGTATGACCTGGACTCTGCATGGTAGTATCACAGGTATACTTACATGATTCTACCCGTCTCATGGGTTTCTTCCTGGAAAAATAAAGGGGCAATGACAAAAAAAAAAAAAACAACAACAAAGAAGACAAGGGAGTATAAATGAATATGAAAAAAAAAATTAAGTTTTACTTTTGATTACAGTTCTTTGTTCATAATAATGAATGAGAATCAAATCCAATCTATTATTCATGCCGGCATGGGAATGGTCAAATCAATTAGCAAACTAATTAGTGGAACACTGTTACATAATGTGTTAAAAGGCATGCAATTTACTATTACCGTAATTTCCGGACTATTGAGCGCACCCGAATATAGGCCGTACCCACTAAATCTAAAAAGAAAAAAACAACTGTACATATATAGGTCGCACTTCTCTATAAGTCGCAGGTGTCCACGTAACATGGGATATTTACACAGATTAAGATTTTTTTTTTCTCTTTTAATTAAATAAATGTTTCTTTTCTGAACAGTGCCTGTAACACCGCTGGTTACACGTTAGCTTTTTCCTGCTTCGGAGCCACGACTGTAGTTGGAACGTACAGGGGAGGCTTAGTGATCTGCTCCAGAGCCGAAGCTAACATTAGCTCCGGGGCTAACTCCCTTCACTTCGTGCTGGTCCGCAGTAGAGGTAAACAGAAACAGGGAAGTTGGGGTCTTTATTATCAGCCACACCGACCACAACAGAACATAAACAGAGTTTTAACAGCTCCTGTATAACCAACTCACACTTCAACATGACAGGACTCAAAAACTGCTCTCAACCTTCGTTAGCATTCTCTCTCGCGTGCGCCCAATGCTGTAGACGCATACAGCCATTCACAGACAGACATACACTACTAGGTATAACACACAGTAACTTGTCAAAAATGTAATTAATTGCTAGCATCATACATACACTACTAGTATAACACACAGTAACTTGTCAAAAAAGTAATTAATTGCTAGCATCAATGTTTAAGGGTTCAAAGTGTGCGAAAAAAGTAGCGGCTCATAGTCCGGAAATTATGGAACTTTTTTTTTTTTTTTTTTTTTACTGTACTTTATGTATTGATGATGAGTCCAGGAAACTCATCTGCTCCACATCATGACTGGAAGGGCTCCTGGTAGTCATGGCTGATTCAGTCTCTAACTTCCCATGCGCAGGTGAGCTACAACTGAAAGGACTGCGACGGCCACGGGCATCGGCGTTGTCCTGTAATCCGAGAGCATGCACTTTTTGACGGTGCTCAACGCATGGCGACGCGTAATGACGCTGATGAGATTCACTGTGGGGTTGGTTGCCATGGTGATAGGGATGAGGTTTGCCGTAGTGGTGATTGACATGGTGATGGGAATAGGCTTCACTTTGATGTCGGCGGTCATGATGATGATGATGATGATGATGTTGTGGCGGAGATTTAATGGTGTTTTTACGGTAATGGCGATGCGCTCGGCTAATGCAGTCGTCATGGTTCAGCTGATGGTCTGAACAGCCATAGTTTCCGTGTTGATGGCGATGGTGGTGATGATGACTGTCGCTGTAGCTGTTATGACGGCAACGTTGATAGCCTGACCTTTGGTAGCCATCCCGGTCACTGGAACTGTGATGATCCAAATGATGGTCTCTAATATGACCCGGTCTATCGGCTTCACGTTCGCTTGAAATTTGACTTTCGGAATCATGGTCTCCAAGCAAACGTAAAGCGCGATCTTCCTTGGTACTTGAATAGCGGCCATCGCGACGACGAGTTGTACAGTCGGAGTCATTGGCGACACTGTTGCCGCCGTGGTGAAGAGCAGGACCATGCTCATCTCCACAATCCATGTGGTAATCATCGCTACGATGGTTCTTATGGCAACGACGGCGACAATGTCCGAACGGTGGAGTTGGACCACTGCTGTCTCCTGTCTCGCTGCAATGTCGCCTGCGATGATGGTCTGCGTAGCAATAACCACCCTGTTCGTGGTCTCTATGATGAGGGTCTCCATGGTGATGCCCTCCATGACGATGGTGTCTAAGATGGTGCTCTTCCTGGGGATGGTCTCCATGGGGATGGAGCTTGTTGTGGCCTCTGCCGTTGGGAAACGTGTTGTGGAGGTCCTCAGGGTGATAAGCAGAGTTATGGGTCTGATGATGATGATGATGATGATGAGGATGATGACATTGGCTGTTACAGTTTCTGGACTCATGACAGTGGGGAGTGAAAGCGTGTTCTCCTTTATGCTGGTGGTTGTAGTGTTTTTGATGCCGATGCGCCTGTGGGCTTTTCAAACACCTTACGTCAGTGCTGCTCCCTGTCCTGGGAGAAACACTCAAAGCGGCTGAGTGTGCCGGATTGTGCATCGGGTTCTGGTGAAAGGATTTTGAAGGAGGCTGATTTACGGAAGGCTGCTTCCTGGAACGTACGTTCTGATTGGAGGCAGGTGAGTCTGCACTTGCGGACTGACTCCTCTGCCTTTTTTCACTCTTTTCGGATTGACCACAGGCCTGAGGTGGTCCGCACGATGGATGTGCGTCTTTAACTCCCAGAGTCGTGAGTCTCACAGGGCTGAGCACCTGGCGAGTGATTTCATTGAGAAAAGCGGAGAATTTCATTTTTTCCTTGACTAACTCTTTTCTGGCGTCGCTTTCTCTCATTCCTTGTTCATTCTCATCCTCGTGCCCACCCTTGTCCTTTGGCCTGACCAGAGCCTCCATTGACTTGGATTTGCGAACGTTTCCATCGGTTTTCGAACCGCTGGTAATTGTCCGTGTTTTGGGAAGACATTCCTGGACGGGGCTTTGTGTGGCTAATTTATTTTTGGCAGAGCCTCTCTTAGAACCCTTCATTTCTATCAAAGGGGCCGTGTCACAATCTTCTTCAAAGTACCCGCGTTTCTCCGAAATATCAGTACAAGACTGGGAATACCAGGGCTTTTTAAAGGCACACCTGACCCTACACTCACTACTGGTGTTGGAATTCACGCTGGAAGAAGAAGCCGAAGAGGAGGAAGAAAAAAAGGAAGAGAAGGATGACGAAGATGAGGAGGAGGAGGAGGAATACGAGAAAGCCGAACAGGCAGCAGTGGATAACGTTGCATGGCAAGGGCTTGGCTTGGGATGCTCAAAGAGAAACTGAGAGCTTTTATCTCTGTGAGATGGACATCCATGGTCATCGTGGTCATCATTAAAAATGTTGCCTTCTGATCTTGAAGGGACGCTATTCCAAGAAGAAGAAAACAAATGTGGTTGAAGTGTAGGTTATACATACTGTAGCTTTGTTCAATAATTGAAAAATGTGTTGTGTTTTCCAGACTATAAGTCGGTCCGGAGTAAAAGACTCCGGACCGACTAGGCTAGAGTGCCCTCTAGTGGCTGTCAATGTGAAAATAACAAACATGCGGAATTATATATTTTAATACGTAAGTCGCAAACCCAGCCAGAATGAAAAAAAAAAGTGCGACTTATAGTCCGGAAAATACAGTATGCCACTTAGAAGTACTAACAAACTTACTCCTTGATTACTCTGTCATCGTTGCGGTCACAATATTGTCTACATTTCAAGGGGACATCCGTCCCCTGCTTGTGGTCCTTTCTTCGGGGGTCACACATTTTGCGACCTTAGATGTATCTTCTCTTGACAGAAATGTCAGTCAAGCTGCAAAATACGATCCTTCGAAATCTGCACACCACAGTTTACCTTGGGCAAAAAAAAAAAAAAAAAAAAGTCCTCCATTACTTGTTTATAAAAAGTATGTTTCTAAATAAGCAATATTAAAATATGAAAGAAAATGTATTTAATTCATTGTAGAAACTCGGGAAAAGTAGTTTGGGCAAAAAAAAAAAAAAAAAAAAAAAATCTAATCTAATTAATTACAGCAATACCATGCTCAGTTTTGAAGAGCTAAAGCTTAGCTTATGAAAAATGTAAATAATAATAATAATAATATTTTTATCAATTTTAACGTCCCCCACTAATAAAATTAAATTTCAAATTTCAATATAAAAAAAATATTACTACCAAAAAAATAAAAATTACAAAGAACCTCAGTAATATTTTTATCAATTTTAACGTCCCCGATAATAAAATTAAATTTCAAATGTTAATATAAAAAATATTACTAGCAAAAAAATATCAATTACAAAGAACCTCAAGAATGCTTTGTCAGGACAAAGGCAACGTCACGGAACCAAATTAAACATCTGCAAAAGGTTTGTACTCACGCTTTCAGAAAGCTCCCGAAATAAAGTGGCAGAACACTGCGCTGATGCTTCGGCTCTAAAAGGG